AGGCCCGATGTCCTTCTGCTACCTTAATACTAAACCTATAAATATAGGCTCATAGATCTATTTCCCCATCCTCATATAAATATATTTGCATATGTACATATCTTTATTCATATGGTACTGTTTAGACATATATTGATAGTAGGAGTTTCAGCTCATGTTCTAGTAATTGAACTGGGCTATGGGCTCAGGGGTTAATCTCAATATTAGATTTGAATGGAGGAGACGAACTTGATATTTGATGAAGTCTTCCTTTATGGAAGTATTTGGATATGGAAATGTAGCTAGTATGCTATCATCATTAACTTCTAACAATGATATATCCTTTCCAGTCTTACCCTTTGTACCATTTCCCCTTTACAGCATTTAAGTGATTTTAAAGTTCTGTTGGCTCTTAAACTGAGGCTAGCCTCAATTTTATTTTTATTTTGTTGCTTAACAGAAGGTGAGCGTGCTGCTAGTCTTAACTGGTTCATTCCTCTCTTCTCTAGAAGGGGGCTGGTGTTTTATCTCCACAGTTCAAAACCTCAGTTCATGAAGAGAGCCTTCTCACTCCTTCCTGACTAGATAACAGAGCACAAGCACAGAAGTCTAGTTTGCATGTATTTAGGGCCTGCTGAGTGGAAGCTCAAGATGCTAATGATTTTGGGAAGTAAAAGCAGTTTGTGGCCAGCATCCTGTTAGGTCTTATCTTTTTGAGCTTTCAGAGCTTGTTACTTTTTAAAGTTGCTGTGAAGAGCAGGAAGCAGTGATGTTATGGGGAGTGTAGATAGGAAAAGAGCAGACTCTGTAACTGCGGATGGCTGTAAACTTCTGGGGCCCTTGTGTGTCAGGGTTTGAATGTTTGATCTGGGCTTGTTATGAGCTATCCCCATCCATGCATGACCTCCCTGGAATTCATTGCTGGTCAGTTTGTCTCTCTCCTTTTCTACTTTTTTGATAGACTTTGTAGAATTGCCCTACACCATATCGACATCGTTTTTAAAACTTTTTGCTTTGGGTGCTTTTGTTTCATGAAAGAGCCAAAAAGCAAATCCCAGTAAAGGAAGTAAGATGCCAAGTAGTCATGCTTGAATATTTTCTAATTGACGGTATATGTTTTATGCTGCAGTGGGATGCATACCCAACAATTGTTCACCAAGACTAAATAAGGGTGGGCTCTGGGAGTTCCCCGGCAGTGAAACGACTAGAGAGTGGTGTTCCAGGGTGTTAGTATGGCCAGATCCCTAAATAGCCTTTTGTCTATTGAGTCACATTGAGGCATACACTCTGGGATTTCTGGTTAATAAAGAAGTCTTCTTGTACCTCAGTTTTCTTATCTGTAAACTGGAAGATTGCAGATTGTACTGATTATCTCTGTGAAGGTCAATGGATAATTACAATTTTACAATGATTTAATGGATGCTAAGGCAAAGGAAAACCCTTACCTACTTCCCAGTATGTTTTCTTTCAAAGGCAGTGCAGAACAGCGAGACCTGGGACAGGAAGTTATCAATACTGTCTTTGGAATCAGGCAGTCCTGGGTAACTGCTAGTCAGGTGATGTCACTCCAGATAAAACAGATGCTTAAAGTTTTTTTTTTTTAAATTATATATTTTTTAGAAAACAAAACAATAATTTGACATTAATGGTGAGGGATCTTTGCAGGATTCCCTTCTTCAGACCTAATTGAGCATGTATTATTTGCTATTTCATTAGACAGTCATCTTAAACTTGACAAAGATTCTTACTTAGAGTACCAGCCATATACAGAAATTCACACTTAGCACCAGCATTTATAAAACCAAGCCCAGAGAAAGAACTCAGCCTAGGGACACCTGCATGGTCTTACTATAGCGAATGCTTAGCCTGCCCTGGCTATCACAAAACCAGGGCAGTGAGAATATTTGCAGTACTTTAGTGTGTTTTTGAGATTTAAATAAGCTCCTGGGTCTGAAGCTGATTAGTTTAAAGGAAACGACCAAAACGGGCCCAGTCAAAATAAGGGACACCCATTGGGGTAGGGTGGGGGGAGTCTGTGGGGAAATACCCATGTTCCACAAATTCCTAGAGGGGTACCCATCATCTCCCCTTTCCCCTTGGATGAGTTTAGGGAGAAAAGTGCAGGGGGGTGATTTGTTTAGAACATGTGTTTTGTTGACGGAAGTTGCAGCCTTTTAAAAATTGACTCAAAGCAAACCAACAAACGTGACAAGTGACAAGAGATGTGGACTGGGCACTCCCAGGCCAGTGAGCCAGCCAGCCCTCTGCTGGAGGGCTTGCCTTTCACCCCTCCAGCAGTTGCCAGGACACAGAATCCTGTTTTGTGAAAGATGCTCTAGAAACAATGAGGGAGCACAGCCTGTGTTATTAGATTAGATCAATTTGTGTGATTTGGGGAGGGGCTAGGTCAGGGGTGTGTGTGTGTGTGTGTGTGTGTACACATGGACACAGGGTGTCCGTGGGCTTGGTCTGGGCAGCGTGGCCCATGTGGCTGGGTATCAGTAGGTCATTTGGTAAGTAATGAAGCAGGGTGGGAGCTGGAATTGTAAGAAAGAGGAGGGTGGGCAGGCTGGCAGGAGGAGGTGCTTGGAGGAGCATGTGGAAAGAGATTTGTGTAGTCTTGTCTGGAGAGCTGCCCAGGTTTCCCAGCCAAAAAAACAAATACAAATAAATAAAAGACGAGTGTGGAATGACACAGATTACGATATTAAAAACGCGATGCTATTAAACATGTGACATTGAGCCTGTGGTCCAGGGGCAGGGCGGGGGAGGGGTGGAGGTCTGACTGGGCAAAGCAGCTGTGTGGACAATTAAACTGAATGCCCCCCTCCCCCATCCACTGTCCTCCCTCTCCCTTCCCGTGTGAGAAATTCCATAATTCCCGATTTGTCTGCATTGCGGGTTGGGGGAATGGTAAGATGAAAAGCTTGTCGCTCTTTTCATTTTTCTTATTTTAATTTATCAGGAGGAAAACTGGGAAGGGAAAAAAAAATACCCGGAGACCCCTCCTCCTCGGTGTTAGATTCCCTCCCCTCCACATAAATAACCTCCACTGCCTGCCGTCTCCCCTCCCCCCGGTCCCAGTGCTGTTCTGGCCGTCCTATTGCGGCGCGGAATCGGCACCGCCGCCTGCTTATTACGTACAGCGGAGGATTGTTGACAAGTGCTCTGGAGCCTGCCTCCGCCCGCCGCCCGCCCGCCCTCCCTGTCCTCCGTCCTCTCCCTCGCCTCTCTGCAATGATCCGGCTCTGAGGATGGCTGCTCCACGGGTCTGTCAGGTGCAGTTTTTGGTGGCTTATCTTGAGGAGCCTGGGATAGAAGGTCTGTTCCTCTAAATAAAATAAAAACCAAATAGCTCTAGATTTGTTTCAGGCTGGTATGGCTTTTGTTGGTGAAATAGGCCTTTGTGGGTTTCCCTGCTGGAGTCTGATTAAATCCATTATGGATGGCAAGGTGCTATATGGAAAAGTGTTATGATTTGCTTAGTATTAATCATCTTTCAGCTTTGATAACCTCCCCAGGGGCCATGGTGGTTTCTGCAAAGACACTGGAAATTTACAAGAGAGAATTAAGGCCGCTCTTAAAACAGTAAGCTCTGTTGACCATTTTGGTCAAACCTGCAGTTTTTACCAGGCTCGTATGAATTGAGACATCTCTCTGGGGACTGAACGCCACCGGCTCAGGCTGGTTCCTTTATGTTATTGCTAGTTTATTTGATCATTGCCCAGAATTTAAAAATAGATGCTTGATTAAAGTTGATTAGTTCATTCTCACCAGAGCTTAGGTTAGGAGTATACGCAGCGTGCATGATTTCCATCTCCCTTCATCTTCTCTTCTCCACCTCCGTGAAAGATGGAGCAAACTGAGGCCTGGTCCATAGTTCTCATGGGATTCTGGGTTAGAACCGTAGAGCTGTAAACTTCAGATGCTCATGCTTCATCTTCCGTATTTTGTGCACTAATCCACGTTTGTATGACTAGATACAAACACACATGAATTTTAGGGTCTACCATTAGGTGCTTCAAATCTGGGCAGATTTCATTTCCACACCCCTATAGCTCTGCTTCTTTGTGATTTCCAAGATGTTTCGGTGTTTGAAAGAATGGTGCTCCAGGGAGCTGTAGGCTTTTCAGAACTTGCTGCCAGCAGTTTTTGTTTTTAAAAATTAGCACAGGCCACTTAATAATCCTTATGCATCCATCTGGAAAGTAGGTGTGCAGTCAGGTCTCTAAGGGGCCCAGGTAATCGAACAGGGAAACCACTGCCCTTCCCGGTTGCCTCCAGACAAAACCTAACCCAGAACTTCTAAGAGCCCCTTGTTTATTATCTTAGGGAATGCCTATGATTGTCGGAAAGGGCTGTGGGGACGACATGATGATTTGCTTATGGACAGATTAGACAGTTAGGACACAGAATATGTAGCATTATTATCCCGTTATCATGGTAGATTCGTGCACTAACCTAGCTGCTTCATGGCATTTTGTGGGTTTGCATTAAAGCCAGCTTGCTTTACCTTTGTGGTAATTTTCCTATTAGTTCAGGATGTTTCCGTTAATAACATTTGTGGGATAAAATGCAATGATTTAATAGCATTTATTTGTGTTGTAATTTTTCCCCCCTCTTCCAAGTCTGGATTATTAACTGTTGCAGAGATGCAGTGCTACAAATAGGGCAAGTAGTATGCCTTGTAAAATCAGGTTTTGACCTCTCAAGGTTTCTTAGGACGTGCATTATGTTGTTGTGATTTTTTTTCCTCTTTTCTATCTCAAAGATCTATTAAGAAGACCCCTGATTTACTTCTGCTGCATAACTCTAAATTCCCACCATCTGGAGTCGTTGTAGCCATTGTTCTACACACCTAGGGGACTGGATGCATCTTTTTTTTCATAGGGACGGCCCTCTGGTGCTCTGGTGTCATCCTCTACTTAGTGGAACCCTGATCTTGGTGGGCAGTCACTACTAGGTAGTTTGGCAGGCATGTGCTTGGCTGGGCTGCCAGCTTAAAATTAAGGACTATGGACATAGAGGTGTGGGGGTTGGCAAAGAGGAGAAATGATTCAATGCTTCTCACTGTACAGAAATGTGGTGGTTTGTAATTCAAGGGTTATCACCATCCAATAGATCTGACATTTGCCCTGATGATGAGAAGAACAACCATGTGTAATCAGAGTGAGGAATATGTGAAAAGGAGGAAGAGTTCCCACAGAAGTTACTTATGCCCACGTGCTCAGGAGATTTTCCTCACTGATGTTGTGTTCATAGATGAACTTCTGGGCTGCCCCAGAAGTCTTTCCTGGATGCCAAGGCTGTATCCCCGGAGATTTGTTGTTCTCAGTACAGCTCACCTGTCAGCCTGGTTGCCCTTGGAATCCCCCAGTGGGTGCGTCTCCTGTCCAGTGACAGAGGTGGGAAGTGGGAAGGAGAAGTCTTTTATTTTCTAGCGGTGGCCAGCCATTCAGGGATAGCGGCAGGCAGAGTAGGGCCCCCTTTATGTCTTAGCATGGATCTGCCCTTGTGTAAGTACGGCCTCCTGGTAGGTTGTTCTGTGGTAGTTCAAGGTGAAGAGATGCTTTTTGGGGTGTGTGTGTGTGTGTGTGTGTGTGTGTGTGTGTGTGTGTGTGTGTTGGTGTCCCTTGTTGCGGGTCTTTCTCAGGTTCAATCATTCGCCTTGGCTCTGAAATTGGGGTGGGGTGGAGTCGGGCTGGGTGTCTTTCTCACTTTCCCTGTGGCCTACCTTCCCCATGCTAATAATTATCACTATCAAATGTGGACCTACCACATTTTCTTAAAAACCACCCACCCATCCCAAGACACAACAAATCAAAACCAACCAAAGAAATGGGGGCAGGCTCAATATTTCTAATGACTGAGAAATGTTGTGTGGGAAAAGAGTAGCAAAGGACTCTTGGATTATTTATTTATTTTTGTCCCTCCCCCAAACAAAACAAAGGCCTCGTGTTCCCTCCATTTTGGACTGTTTCGAGGGCTTGTTAGGCTCTTCTTTGGGTCCGGTCTCCTTGGCTGGAGTGGAGAGTCTTCATTGCTCGGGCAGAGTAGACAAAGGAGAGGGAGCCTGAGCCTGCTCAGGATGGAGAGAATTATTTTCAATAAGCTGAGGCAGTAAGTCATTTGTTTTCTGCATGCTAACTATGAGTATGTGTCCGTGGCACCCTGGGTCATGGCGGCCACTCTTCTCAGGGACCTCTGCCTTTTTCTCTGGGAGCATGTCCACAGACAAGCCCACGGTTGGCTCTCTGAAAGCTGTACTTTCTCGCCCCCTGGCCTGCGACCATAGATCAAATGGATGGAAGCTTAGCCACTGACCTGACTGCACAATTGGACTTAAACTCCCCACCCCATTTTAAAAGGAAGCAGTCCAATTTTTCCTCTGCCCAATATCTAATAAGGCAAGCCATTCCAAAATTTGAGAGGCACACTAAGCATTTGGAATGCCTCAGGAGGGAGTCCTGCCTCAGCAAAGAAGGCCTCGTGTATCATTTTTTTCTTAATTCAAAAGTGCTGCAGCTTACCTTTTGGTGCCCCCTCCCCTCATAGACGCACCAAAAATTGCTGTTGAAAATGAAAGCTCTTTGGATTCTTGACTGTTTAATATGTAATGTGATACCTTGTCTCACAGTGACAGGGTGACAGACTGCATTGGCTGCACAGTACAGAATTACCTCTTGTGCATCTCTTCCACAACAAAGCTAAATGCATGGATTCTCCCACATATGCTAATTACTCTGGTGTGCTCCAGATGTTTTAGAAGCACTGGAACTGCTTCAGAGGTCTTCTTGTTTTTCCTCTTTTTTTTTAAACCCCTGTTTAGGCAAGCAGCACTTTGTGGAAAGGAGACACCCAACCTTACCTTCCATTTGGAAATCTGCTGTGTATGTGTAGCTAATGGGAGGACTGATTCAAAATCCAGCGTGGTCAGGACCAGAAGTTCTAAGCCCGCTCTTCAGACTGATGAGGATGAGTTACTTGTGCATTTATGTTTCTACACCTATAGTTATCATCAATGTCTCTACTCCCAAAGCGCTTAAGGAATCATAAGGAATCGCTGCTTAATTTATGCCACAAATTTTCCATTCCATCTCCCTGCCCCCACCCGATATTGATGCAGAAGGAAGCAGCAGAGCATACATATCTTCTTCGAGTCTGAGGAGAACAATAACCTCCCTCTTTTCTGCCACAGTTCCAGGCTCTGAAAGGAGCTAGTTTGTTGCGATGCCTTATGCATGGGGGCGATGGGGAGGGCATTTCATTCCCTGCTACTGGGGGAGATAGGATGAAAAGCTGAGCGGGCGCAGCCTTTGATGGCAGGGTTCTGCAGTATTTGTTTTCTCGGGGGTTCTTGGCTCCTGAGAAAAGACCGGCTCTGTGGTGAAGGAGTGAGCTCCTGCCTGTGACTCTGCTCCTGTCAGCTGATGGCGACTTGCTGAGGTTGCAGGCGCAGTCCCCAAGCTGCCTTTACCAGCGATTTGGAGTCTTCAGCTCACATTTATTGCTTTTGTGAAAGACAATAGACATGCTTTAATTTTAAGTTCAACCTGCTGAATATTAATAGAGAGGAACAGATGCTAATGTAGAGACTGAAATCGTGGGCCATTCAATTTCCGCTTTAACCTTCTCTCCCCAACAAAGGTTTGTGCATGTGGGTGGGTGGGTGCGGGTGTTAGAAAAATAAAAACGCCTTCTATGTTTGTAGGAGGGGGTGCCATTTCATTATTTTTCATTGACTTAAAAATAACAATGTAAAAGATTGGTGGCAGTGTTTTGTTAGGTAGGGGAAAGAAAAGGCAGCCCACATTAGCTTGTCTAATGTTATAATAATGGCTGTTCTGCCCCATGGCAGCATATTCCATCTTGCTGACCTGGCTCTTCTGGAATGGACAGGCCATACAATTTGAATTAAAACAGTAAAACTAAAATAGGTTCTGTCAGCATATTCAGTAGATATATATGGATGGTGGGGGTTGGGTGGGAGGGTGCTAAACTATAAATGTTCTCTGTGCTGACTAATACAGAGTGGAATGCTCAAATTTGAGAAAGATTTAGTGGTTGCTCTCGTGCAGAACAAGATAGTCTGGCCCCTTCAAAAAGGCTACAGAAAACTATGGGGCCTCATGTTTCCGTTCTCACAACCAGCAACTGATGACACGTGTTTTGGGGTCCGTTTCCATAATCTGGAAAATAAACTGCATTGACGTAATCTGTGCCCCTCCTGGTTCAGATCACTCACTTGTTCACTTGCCATCGAGTCTATTCCAGCCCATAGTGACCCCATAGGACAGATTACACCTGCTGCCCTTGAACTGTCGACAGGGCATAGAAAGCCTCGCCTTTCTCCTTTGGAGCAAATGGTGTTTCTGAACTGCTGTAGGTAACCCACTATGCCAGCAGGGCTCCCTTTTTCTGGTGCAGACTTAATTGGCCCAGAGATTGTGATAGGATCTGTATTTTAACTTCTTAAAATTGTTCATTGGGTAATACTTTACAGAGCTAGGTCAGTTTTTCATTCAATAGTTCATGTCATGATTTCAGTCCTTAGAAATATAGAAAAGTGGGAGAGGGTTGACGCCGGACAGGGCAAGATATGACAAAATAACAATTTATAAACTATCAAGGGCTTATGAGGGAGTGGGGAGGGAGGGGAAAAATGAGGACCTAATGTCGGGGGTTTAAGTGGAGAGAAAATGTTTTGAGAATGAAGTACAAATGCGCTTTACACAATTGATGTGTGTATAGATTGTGATAAGAGTTGTATGAGCCCCTAATAAAATGTTAAGAAAAACAAAACAAAACAACAACAACAAAAAAGAACTATAGCGTCACGTACCCACTTCTTCCCTGGGTGTCCTAGTTCCATTCCTCCTCCTGTCTGTCCTCCATTTGAGTTTACATACCAAAAACAAACCGTAAAACCCACTGGCATCAAATCGATTCAAACGCACAGTGATCCCATATAGGGTTTCTAAGGCTGTATATAAATCTTTACCAGGTCAAATAGCCAGCTTTCTCCTGAGAGTTGGTGAGTTTGAAATGCTGACCTTGCGGTTTGCAGTCCGACCCTAACAGCCAGCGCCACCAGGGTTCCTCTGGTAACAAAGTGGTTCTGAACACCAGGTTTTCTGGACCCATCATTTTGACGCATTTTCACTTGTCTTCAACGAAAAATCCAGAAACTGTTTACATTTGCCACTTAAACCATTTATGTTGACTTTTATCAGTTGAATGATACAAACCCATATTCATTTTCTTTTAAGCCTTCTAATCTCAATTTTTTTAATTAAAAAAATTGTTTAGATAATTTTATTGGGGGCACTTACAACTCTTGTTGCAAACCATACATCAATTGTATCTGACATATTCGCACATATATTCCATCGTTCTTTTCTAGACATTTACTTTCCATTGAGCCCTTGGGATCGGCTCCTCTTCTTTCTCTTCTCCCACCTCCAACCTCCAGCTCCTCTTATCTCTCCCCCCCCATCTGCCCACCCCAATCTCAACCTTTTTTTGTGTGGTAAACTTATCTCTGTAGATAATGTGTTGATTTTACAAGAACACAAACTGAGTATTCATCCCAGTAAATCGCTGGTTCATTTGTGAAAGCATTATTTCAGCCATGAATATAAATGTAGTCCAAGAGTTCTTAGAAAATAAGCTTCAACTATAAAGAAAAACCATGCTACAGAGATTGTCATACTGACTGGTTCAAGTGACCCAACTTGCCATACACTGCACCCTGTATCTCAAATGTTGAATAGGATAAATTTCAAACAAACATATAGTTCATATAGTTTCATTTGCTAGTTAATAGTGTGTAATTATGTTTTCTTACTATACATGAATCATTTTTAAATGTTTTTTAAAAGAAAAACATTTAAAGTTGTTTTTAAAAGAAAGTGTCCACTTTCATACATGTGTCAATTTGTATGTCCGTAGTTAGCTATATAAGAAATGCCTGTAATCTGGTGTTAAAATATGCTTCCAGGATGTTTATTTAGTATTAAGGTAGCAGATAGACATTGGCCTCCACTCAAGTACTCCTTTAATGCAAGGGCATTTTGTTCTATTAAATTGGCATTCCATATGCTCACCTTCCCAACACGATCGCTGAAGACAAAGCGAGTGCATAAGTAAATGTGAAGAAAGCTGATGGTGCCCAGCTATCAAAAGAGATAGTGCATGGCATCTTAAAGGCTTGAAGATAAACAAGCGGCCATCTAGCTCAGAAGAAACAAATCCCACATGTGTGATCATGAGGTGTCTATGGGATCAGGTATCAGGCATCAAAGAACAAAAAATGAGGGGAGTGCGGAGTAAGCCCATCTGTAGGCAATTGGATATCCCCACACGGAAGAGTTGCAGGGAAGAGATGAGCCAGTCAGGGTACAGTGTAGCAATGATGAAACATGCAACTTTCCTCTAGTTCTATTTAATGTTCTCCCCCCACCCCCACGACCCCAATTCTACCTAACAAATCCGGCTAGGCCAGAGGATGTACATTGGTACAGATAAGAACTGGAAACACAGGGAATTCAGGACAGATAAACCCCTGAAGACCAGTGGTGAGAGTGGCGACACCAGGAGGGTGGAGGGAAGATGGGGTAGAAAGGGGGAACCGATTACAAGGATCTACATATAACCCTCTCCCTGGGGGATGGAAAACAGAAAAGTATGTGAAGGGAGACAGTGTAAGACATGACAAAATAATAATTTATAAGTTATCAAGGGTTCATGGGGGGGTGGGTACCAAGAAGGGAGGGTAAAATGAGCTGATACCAAGGGCCAAGTAGAAAGCAAATGTTTTGAGAATGAGGATGACAACAAATGCGCTTGACACAATGGATATATATATCCATTATATATATATTGGGATAAGAGTTTACAAGACCCCCACAATATGATGATTAAAAAAACATACCAAACTTTCAGGATCAGCAAAATAGCAGCACCACCTAGCATAATTGCTAGAATAAGACCTTTGGGCAGGTGTGGGCGGGTGAGGCTGGGCCTGTTGTGTATTAATAAACTGTCCAGGTGACCTGTGATGCTTGCTCACAATTGAGAACTACGGATCTTTACAATTTCCTGATATGATTCATGTCTGAAGGAAAGGCCAGGTTGTCTTCTTTGTGGTGGTGGTGGTGTGCTTACGCCTTGGGCTGCAATCTGTGTGATTGGCAGTTCAAAGCCATCAGCTTCCACAAGTCTCCTCAAGAGAAAGACTGGACTTTTCTGCTCCTATAAACAGTTACTGTCTTAGAAACCTGCGGGGGTGGGGGTGGGGTGGGGATTAGTATGAGTCCTCAATGATTCAATGGCAGTGAGTTTTGTATGTGTGTGTGTGTGTGCGCGCGCGCACGTCTTTACCTGCCATGTTTTGGGTTAACTGTACAGAAGTGCTAATGCCATCTCCCCTTCTCTCATCTGTAGGGCTCCTTGGTAATGGCCAGTCTAAGGGATTAGGACCAGCATCTGAACAGTCAGAGAACGAGAAGGACGATGCATCCCAAGTGTCTTCAACTAGCAACGATGTTAGTTCTTCCGATTTTGAAGAAGGGCCATCGAGGAAAAGGTTAGTACCCAAAGCGAAAACTTTGGTACCTTCAGCCAGGAGGGAGGGCTAGAAACATAGGTGCAACTTCCTAATGCCTGGGAACGTGAGCTCACTTAACTGGGTTTGTATTTGAAGTTCTTCATGGATTTCAAATATTTTGTACTGTTTCTGGTTAAAAATGAATCAACCCAAAACTCCTGTGGGCCAAAAAAAACATGTTCCTGCCACAAAGTTGGCCCCAAGTTGCTAGCTTGTAATGCCTTTCCTGGTCATTGCAATTGACTCTTGTTGATAGCCATCCAGAGCCTTGTGTTATATGTGGTATTTCATTACTTGTTGTTTTTAAAATCTTTAGAGCGTTCAACGTGTTTATTTTAAAAGTTTTTTTCATACTTGGAAGTCCAAAATCACATTGTGTGCACCTTAAATTTTATTTATTTATTAAAAAAATTTTTTAAGACCATAGCTAGTCATTATCAAATGGATTCTTTAATTTACCAGGAGATATTTTTTTCGGCTGACCTTTCCTAGATGCACGTAAGATGGTTTTAAGTAAGGAAGTTGGCACTGGAAGTGTGATAAGATCTTTTATGGTTTTATGCTCAAATAGTGACATTGTGGTCATGTATCCCTTTAACTTAGTGGTATCTGCCTGACTTCATGCATATGCCCTGTGTTGCTTATTTTCTTTCTCCTCTGACAGATTTGTGACTTATGTAGTTTCTTTTCAATTTTCGTGCTTAATATTTTCCATGGCTAGATTGATGGTTTATTTTAGAGTCAGTTTGAGTGTTTAGAGGGAAAAGGAGGGGAGTGTGGGATGAGGGTCCTGGTTTGCTCCTTTTGTTTGCTCACTCCACAGAATTACGGGTTGTTTTTTAGAAACTATCGCCGTGTGTGTCAAAAACAACTGAGTTTAATGGAAAATTCAGAGGGAGGACAAGATCAGCTATGATGTGCCAGGTGTTCACAATGCTTGGCAGCTTCTTGGATCTGCGGTTTGGAATACATAGTCCAGTCTCACCTTATTTCCATCCGTCATGCAGTGCTTCCGTTTATAGAGCCCACAGCACAGCGAGCATATGTTACCTGTCTTAAATGCCAGCCATGTTTTGCACTAATCCTCAGTGCTGTGTCTTAGAAGATGCCGTAAGATTTGTTAGGAGTACATTTAGATCTGCTCTTGCATCGCGTTCTGTATGTTTCTCTTTCTAAATACACACTGTATATATGTGAATGACTTAAAGACATATGTGTAACGTTGAGCATTGTTCCCAACTCACACCTCCTCTCCATTTTAAAGATGACTCATCATAAAAGAGGGAGTTGTACCACATGGTGCAACATATCAGTGAATTATTGGGATACACAATAATTATTATCCATGTGTTCAAGCTTTGGGCAGTCATGCATTTGACATCCTTCGCTGCCACTTGGGAGATGATTAGGAACGACTGTATTCACTACCTGAGCTCAGTGCCTGTCCTTCCTGCTCTCCTGAGGCTATGGCTGGCCAACATTTGGGTACATTGATGAGAAACAGTAGACTTCCTTTAGGTTGAAGTGTCTCTGTACGAGCATCTCTCATGGATGTTGGTGCTGGGGCTACCATGTTTGTGACGGGACAGCACTGTAGAACAGTGGCTATGCATCTGAGAGGGCTTCTTAAGAAGCATTAAAAAGAACTTAGCGGGCAAATCTGTTTTAGTTATTAGTAGGCCAGATACTCGTCTTACTGAATTCATATTAATGATTCCGAACAGCTTATTATGTGGTTATGGTCACAACTCTAGTAGTGAAATCTATCAGAGACAATTGTGGATTAGACTCTACAGGTTAAGCTAGATTTATGGCTGGTTGCAGTGGCCCTGATTATGGGCGGTGGTGGTAGTGGTAGTGTGTGTGTTGTGTCTGTGTTGAGGAGATGCTTGTGGCTTTCAAACAGGTTGTGTAGTTAGTACATAATTGTCTTAGCAAGAGTATAATACATGATCCTATTGAAATATCTTGAGGGTTATAGGCTTTAGTTTTTGATTCCTCATTGTTGTTTCCTGGTGGTGGTGTGAACCATGAAGGATGATGGATAAAGTGGAACTGGAACTCTAGTGCAGGCGTCCTCAAACTATGGCCCGTGGGCCACATGCGGCCCACTGAGGACATTTACCTGGCCTGCCCCGCCAGGTGTTTTTGCTCTATTTTGTTTTTTTACTTCAAAATAAGATAATGTGCAGTGTGATAGGAATTTGTTCATCGTTGTTTTTTAAACTATAATCCGGCCCTCCAGTGGGTCTGAGGAACAGTGAACTGGCCACCCTGTTTAAAAATTTTGAAGACCCCTGTCCTAGAGCTCCATCAATGGACTCAGCCCTCCGCTCTCCTCACAAACAGCATACCTTTTAAATAAGTTGATCGAGTGTGCTAACCCTGGTGAAGATGTCCAGCCAAGTCCAGAGTAACTGCCTGAAGTCGTTATTTTAAAATGTCCTTCAAGCACGACATGCTTTGTTGACCAGATGGCAGTTCTTACTTTGGATCTAAAATTCCTACATCATCATATATACATAGATGAGCATGTTTGAAAGTTGGACATTTTAAGGTTCCTTTAGTGGTTACACTTTCTTGAATAAAATACTGACTCTTCAAAAATCCAGGCTCACACTTTCTCTATATGCTTCTCTAGTTTTTTATGATTATGTGAATTTCTAGTTATTCTTTCACTCTTAAAATGAGTCCTGATGTGTACATCCCGTTATGTACTTGTTTTGAGGTTTAGATAAAAAGGTATTTTGTCACAGTCAGCAGAGACATACAAGGGAATTTCTGTTTGACTTCCTTCTTTGAAATTAGAAACTGAAGCCAGCCACAGATGACATCTTACCTAGACTAATTTTCCAACCTCTGAATTAAAACAGTTACACTTTTTATTAGATGATGCATGTAGCATGGTTTTAAAAGAGGCTCAGCCGATTCTTTTCAGGTTATGTTTATTGTTGTTTCCTTTAGGAAGTCCGTCCCTTGTATATGCTGCCATCACTTTTACTTCACTTAAGACTCTTCTTGGCACAGATGTAAAAGCTTTAGAATTTAGAGTTCTTATAGTTCGGCACTTTTCTAAAATTTATTGTTATCCCTAGTATATTTCTTTATGGAGATTTTAAGAATAGGTATTTTAAATAAACCATTTGAAGCTTATTTAAGATAATTATTTGTAAAAGGAAGAGTTAGCCCCCTTTCGGAAAGTTTTCTGCTTCCAATGGGGTAGGCACTCAACTTTTTTTTTCCCTCCCCAGTAACTTCCTTAGAGTTTGGTTTTAATTTGTCTATTGTCAAAGGGCTTTTATTTTTAAATGATCAAACATTAATATTGTTTCCATGGTATGGAATGATACACCCCTTTTGTATTCGATGCACATGCTTAGCATCTTTCTCCTTACTGCCTTATACTGGGCAATCTGTCACCTTTTATTGTTTTTAGTAAACTTGTATTTCCTTCAATTAGCTGAGTATTTGGGGACATCAGATTGAACAGTTAATGTTGAGAAGGTGTGGACTGACTGAGAAGTCTTAGGAATGATGGGTGTGGGAGGTGTAGGGGTTGTTTTGTTTGGCTGGTAAGTAATAGATTTCTTTGAGTTATAATTAGAAAATGAAAAATCCATGGGTTCAGAGATCGAACAGAATTTAAAACCATATATATATATTTGTGTGTGTGTGTGTGTGACTTGATGGGTGGAGATAGTAACAATTTAAAGACAATGGTAGTTTTTCTGGTATGTGGTTAATAGTATGGAGTGGAACCCAACTCTCTCCTGGCTCTACCATTTATTTGTTGTGTGACCTCAGCCAGGTTATATACTCCTTGGCCTTACTTTCCTCATCTGTAAAATGTATCAGTCATAGTCTGATCAAATGGTGGGCTTTGTGAATTGAACATATCAGTTCACACATCTCATGGCTATAGTTGTTGTCAACGAAACTTGCATTGCTAGTCAATTGAAATACAGCAGACACTGTGCAAAAGAGAAAGAGAAAGGAATCTGATTGTCTGCTCAGAGCAGGAGCAGCGTGCAGCCCCTGATGGAAATTCTATAAGCCCCCTATTTTGGAGACACTTTGGTCCTTTATTCCTGGAGGTTCCTGCAATTTTTTTTTGGGGTGGGAGGTAGTAGGTTCTTGGGATTCTGAATCTTCCCTCAGTGGGCTTCTCATTTGAGAAATGGACTCAGGTAGAATTGCATGTCACACTGTGTGGGTCGTTCTGGTGGCTCTTGGCCCAAAGTGAGCATAAGTTCTCAATCTCAGCCCACAGTGGAGGAGTCTGGTGCTGTTCCTTGTGGCTTGGGATGGGACGCCGTGTTAGATGGAAGATTGAGTTAAGAGAGAGGTGGGCCTCAGAGTACCAAGTTTGGGTGGGGAGTTCAGTCAGGAAGGTGGAGGGTGTTTTTGGTCTCGCATTCATGTTATCTTGTTAATGGCTGCCAGCTCTCTTTGGGGGGACATGAATAAGCATATATTCATTGGTTATTTGGGGCTTTTAATGAATACGCATTGTGATTTCTATCCTACAATGGCACCTCATCACAGCAATGTGTAGGCACATGGAAAAGTGTGGGCGTGTGACTCGCTTTGAAATCATTGAGTCATAGGAAGGACCCTCGTGTGGCTTTCCTCACTAGCGGTTGGCGTGAAGCAGGCGGAAGCAAGTTGAGGTTGTGAGGAGGAGATGGCTTGGTAAGCAGATTCCATCTCCACTATTCATATGTTAGTCATTGCTTCTTTTTACCTTTGCGAGTGACCTCAATTTCTCGCATATTTAATACAGATCTCATGAAAAAGTACAACCTAGTCTGCTTTGGGGGCCCTGGTGGCACTGTTTGTTGGGTGAACATTGGACTGCTAGCCACAGAGTTGGCAGTGCAAACTCATCAGCTGCTCCTTGGGAGACAGGCGAGGCTGGCTATAGGGTTGCTGTGAGGCACATTGACTTGATGGCAGTGGGGATTATGTGTTTTAAGTCT